GCATGTTACAAATAAATTTACAAAGACATAATACCATGTATAAAAAATAAAGAAATTATTAAAGTTGATATCTCAAAAAAATAATTGAAAAGCAACTAGTCATTGAAAAAAAAATTAATTAAAAATCGCAAGAGCTAAGAGGTAGATTAGATGTTTTATAAGATAAAATGTTTTATAAGAAACCACTTGTCCTTGGCAGTCCTTATAATATTTTTTTTAATTTTATTATTTTTTTAATCACAAATTTGCTGAAATTTCATTTTCTAGAACTACAAGGGTACTTCCACTAATAGGTTTTTAAAAATCAAAGAGTCCTTGAAATAATAATTTTTAAAAATTAAGTTGAAACATATTTTTATTGTTCCACTAGTCCTTGTAAAATATTTTATAAATGTCTAAGAGTCCTCGATTTTTTTTATAATTCCACGAATCCTTGTAAAATATTTTTTAAAAGTCTAAGAAACCTTGAATTTTTTTATAATTCCATGAGACATTTCTTTATAAACCCCCTTGGAAAATATTTTTTAAAAGTCCAAGAGTCCTTAAACTTTTTTTATAAATGCAGCAGTCCTTGAAAAATGTACTTTAAAGGTCTAAAAGTCCTTGAAAATTTTTTATACATTCACGAGTCCTTGAAAAATATTTTTTAAAAGTCCTTAAAAATAATTTTTTACGAGTCTACGGGTCCTTGAAAATGACCCGTAGACCCGTATGACCCTAAAAGTCTTTGAAATATTATTTTTTATAAAACCACGAGTCCTTGAAAAAAAATTGGCGTCTACAAGTCATTGAAATATTATTTTTCATAAATCCGCTAGTCATTGAAAAAATTTAGAGTCTACAAGTCTTTGAAATATTATTTTATATAAATCCACGAAATTTTGAATAAATCCACGAGGTTTTTTAAATATTATTTTTTTTTATAAATCCACGAAGTTCTTGAAATATTTTTTTTTATAAATCCGCGAAGTTTTTAAAATATTATTTTTATAAATCCACGAGGTTTTTTAAATATTATTTTTTTTATAAATCCACGAAGTTCTTGAAATATTTTTTTTATAAATCCGCGAAGTTTTTAAAATATTATTTTTATAAATCCACGATGTTTTAAAATATTATTTTTTATAAATCCACGAAAGTATTTCAATTATTATTTTATAAATTCACGAAGTTATTGAAATATTGTTTTTTATAAAAGAATTTTTTTAAATATTATTTTTCATAAACCCACGAAGTTTTTGAAATATTATTTTTTATAAATGAAGTTTTCGAAATATTATTTTTTTATAAATCCACGAACGTTTTTGAAATATTTTTGTTTTATAAATTCACGAATCCTTGAAAAATATTTTTGGAAAGTGTGAATGTTTTTAAAATATTTTTTGTTGTTGTTGCAGAAAGGTCAGGCTTAATCCCATTCCGAAAGAATTTTAGTTTCATGTAATTCTTTGGTCCTTCTTCTATTGAGTTATTTTTTAAATAACATCTGGGGAGAATATCCCTGGCAAAAAAACAAGGGAACTTATGAGGATTGGTGGCTCTTTCCGAAACATAGGTATTCCCTGCCTTACCCCCCGGTAAACATTAACATCGTTCTCCACTAATAAACAAACGTTGTTTTTTAAAAAACAACAATAATGGGATTAAGCCTGACCTTTTTGCAACAACAACAACAAAAATATTTTAAAAACATTCAGAATTTAAAAAATATTTTTTAAGGACTCATGGATTTATAAAAAATAGTATTTTAAAAACTTCTAGATTTTTAAAAAATATTTTTCATGGAATCGTGAATTAATAAAAAAAAATAATATTTCCAAAACATCGGGAATTTTAAAACATATTTTTCAAGGACTCGCGGATATTTTAAAAACTTCTGCACTTTAAAAAATACTTTTTAAGGACTCGTGGCTTTATAAAAAATAAAATTTCAAAAACTTCTGGACTTTTAAAAAAAATTTTCAAGGACTCGTGGACTTATAAAAAATATTTTTCACGGACGTAGACTTATAAAAAATATTTTTCAAGGACTCGTGAACTTATAAAAAATAATATTTTAAAAACTTTTGGACTTTTAAAAAATAATATTTTAAAAACTTTTGGACCTTTAAAAAATAATTTTTCAAGGACTACTGTATTTATAAAAAATAATATTTTAAAAACTGCGTGGATTTATCTTTGAAAAATATTTTAAAAACTGCGTGGATTTATCTTTGAAAAATATTTTTAAAAAAGCGAAGTCCTTGAAAAAATATATTTTTAGAAATCCACGAGTCCTTGAAAAAATATATTTTTAGAAATCCACGAGTCCTTGAAAAAATATATTTTTAGAAATCCACGAGTCCTTGAAAAAATATATTTTTAGAAATCCACGAGTCCTTGAAAAAATATATTTTTAGAAATCCACGAGTCCTTGAAAAAATATATTTTTAGAAATCCACGAGTCCTTGAAAAATATATTTTTAGAAATCCACGAGTCCTTGAAAAAATATATTTTTAGAAATCCACGGGTCCTTGAAAAAATATATTTTTAGAAATCCACGAGTCCTTGAAAAAATATATTTTTAGAAATCCACGAGTCCTTGAAAAAATATATTTTTAGAAATCCACGAGTCCTTGAAAAAATATATTTCTAGAAATCCACGAGTCCTTGAAAAAATATATTTTTAGAAATCCACGAGTCCTTGAAAAAATATATTTTTAGAAATCCACGAGTCCTTGAAAAAATATATTTTTAGAAATCCACGAGTCCTTGAAAAAATATATTTTTAAAAATCCACGAGTCCTTGAAAAATATATTTTTAGTCCTTGAAAAAATATGTTTTTAGAAATCCACGAGTCCTTGATAAAATATATTTTTAGAAATCCACGAGTCCTTGAAAAAATATGTTTTTAGAAATTTTTAGAAATCCACGAGTCCTTGAAAAATATGTTTTTAGAAATCCACGAGTCCTTAAAAAAATATGTTTTTATAAATCCCGATTTCTTGAAAAAATATGTTTTTAGAAATCCACGAGTCCTTGAAAAATATGTTTTTAGAAACCCACGAGTCCTTGAAAAAATATGTTTTTAGAAATCCACGATTCCTTGAAAAAATATGTTTTTAGAAATCCACGAGTCCTTGAAAAAATATGTTTTCAGAAATCCACGAGTCCTTGAAAAAATATGTTTTTAGAAATCCGAGAGTCCTTGAAAAAATATGTTTTTAGAAATCCACTAGTCCTTGAAAAAATATGTTTATAGAAATCCACTAGTCCTTGAAAAAATATGTTTTTAAAAATCCACGAGTCCTTGAAAAAATATGTTTTTAGAAATCCACGAGTCCTTGAAAAAACATGTTTTTAGAAATCCACGAGTCCTTGAAAAAATATATTTTTAGAAATCCACTAGTCCTTGAAAAAAATAAGTTTATAGAAATCCACTAGTCCTTGAAAAAATATGTTTTTAGAAATCTACGAGTCCTTGAAAAAAATATGTTTTTAGAAATCCACGAGTCCTTGAAAAAATATGTTTTTATAAATCCACGATTTCTTGAAAAAATATGTTTTTAGAAACCCACGAGTCCTTGAAAAAATATGTTTTTATAAATCCACGATTCCTTGAAAAAATATGTTTTTATAAATCCACGATTCCTTGAAAAAATATGTTTTAGAAATCCACGAGTCCTTGAAAAAATATGTTTTTAGAAATCCTTGAGCGCTGGAATTAGTATTTTTTAAAAATTCACAATTAAACTGAATTTGTTCGAAAATTCAGGTTATTTTGACTGATATTGGCCATTTGGTGCACAATTAACCCGAAATCGATTGAAGATATATATGAGAGCTATATCGAAATCAGAACCTGGGCTCGATGTGATATCTGATACCAAATGTCATTCTTGTGGGGTGCATATGACGAATGTTAGGGACTTAAACACCAAATCGGATGAAACATATATATGAGAGCTATAGCTATATCTGAACCGATTTTCTCCAAATTTGATGTACTTGCTTCTAGACTTAATTCGGTCGAATGTGCCAAAATGAACTGATATTGGCCAATTAGTGTACAATTAACCCGAAATCGTTTGAAGATATATATATATATATGGGATTTATATTTGAGATTTGAACCGGTTCTCACCAATTTCAATAGGGTTCGTCCTTAGGCAAAACAAAATATTGTTTGGAAAATTTCAAAAACGAATTCCGATGAAACATATATATGGGAGCTAAGCTATATCTGAACCGATTTTCTTCAAATTTGATGTACTTGCTTCTAGACTTAATTAGGTCGGATGTGCCAAAATGGACTGATATTGGTCAATTAGTGTACAATTGCCCCGAAATCGAAATATGGGATCTATATCTAGATTTGAATTGATTTTCGCCAATTTCAATAGGGTTCGCCCTTGGGCCAAACAAATATTGTTTGGAAAATTTCATCTCAATCGGATAATAAATGCAACCTGCTTTTTGTTCCAAAGAATACATGGACAGACGAACGGAATGACACTCATAAATCAGTCCGAACTCAAAAAGATATCTGGTACCAAATATCATTGTTGACGAATGCATATTACGAATCTCATATTCGGACTTAAAAACTAATTCGGATAAAACATATATATGGGAGCTATAGTTATATCTGAACCGATTCAGAAAGTAATCCTATGAAGATCCTCAAAAATAACTATGGATCTGTCTGGCTTCCTTTTCCATGTTGCAAACAAATCCACAAGACATAATACCCTTACCACTATGTGGTGTAGGGTATAAAAATATTCCCGAAAAAATAATAATTTCCTGCCTTTTCATACCAACCCCCTTCATTCAGTTGCTCTCTTATATCATCTTCATTAACTCATCAAAAATTGCATTATTTGCGAGTAAACAAAAACAATGAAACAGCAATGAAATAAAAAAAGTTATAAAAATAAACAAATAATTTTTTTGTAATTTACATCTTTACAATTTCCGCGAGTTTTATTTAATTTCTCTTCTCTTTGTCTTTTCCAGCTGGATTTACAACTGCAGGATGAGGCTGGCGGTGATATCTCAAGTTTTATTACCAACGGAGAATGGGATCTCTTGGGTATGTTGACAAATGAGAAATGTTACTGTTTACAGTTCATGTTATTGTTTTCTTAATTAACATCTTTTTGTTTTGGTACCAAAAACAACAAACAAAACAACAAAAACTCTATACACTTTCAAAATGTTGACAGCCCAACAACAACAATAACAATACATAACTATACCAATACATAACTATACAAAGCAAACAACAACAATTAAAATTAAACATAAAAATTTGTTTATTTTTTTTTATTCTACTTGCAACCGAACCCCTCTCTGAACAAATAACTCCCCCAACTGCAACAACGCATGGCGCCAAAACTCAAATGATATGATATCACATATACATATATCTCTGTGTGTGTCTCCATCTCTCTCTCTATCTCTATATATATTTTTTAATCAAAATATATCTATGTATAACTCACTCGAATCGAATCGAATCCAATCAAATATCAATATATATATATAAACGCATACTCTCCTGGTGCCTGGTATAGGTGTACCCGGTAAACGAAATGAAATCTACTATAATTGCTGCCCAGAACCTTATATTGACATAACATTCGCCATTTTGATACGACGTAAAACTTTGTACTATTTTTTCAATTTAATTGTGCCCTGTGTACTGATCGCCTCTATGGCACTCTTAGGTTTTACACTGCCACCAGATTCTGGTGAAAAATTATCGCTGGGTAAGTTTAGTCCTGTACAACTTGAACTAGAAAATAAAAAAAAAAAACATTTGAAACTCGTACAGTACACTCACACACACACACATGCATACACTCACAACAACATCATCAGGAAACATGACTTGAACACACACACACACACACAGAAGAGAGAAAAATAAACTTGAAATTGGAAAACTGACTCGCCTCTCTCTCCACACTTCACTAGAATTTACTGGACTTTGTTATTGAAATGGACACCACCCCAAATAAATAATGGAATAGCCCCCAAAACTGAAGTTTATAATTAATTTTCTTTGTTCAAGTAAATATTGTTAAACTTGAGAGGCAGGAGATTGCCGAAGTTTATTTTATTTTGAGCAGAAGTGCATTTTTCTAAGACTTTTTAGGAGATTTTAAATAAAGGAAATTAATGGAAACTTCAGTTGCACTCATTTTGGATGGTTGTGGGTACATACAGGATATTCTGGAAGAGAAAGAGACACAATGAAACAATTTAAGGCGGCAATGTGAAGTAATCACTTACGGGACGCAATGCATGGGAATATTTTGGGTCAATGCAAAAAATGCATTCTTTTTGGAAACACCAGAAAAATATATTTTACATAAATCCAAAAAATATTGTAATGGTCCTTAATCTTTTAAAAAATCCACACTTATGGTTCCAATGGTTCTTTTGGAAAATATTATTTAAAAAATCCACGCTCATGATTCCAATCGTTCTTTTGGAAAATGTTCTTTAAAAAACCACACTTATGGTTCCAATGGTTCTTTTGGAAAATATTCTTTAAAAAGTCCACTCCGTCCTTTGAAAGTATTCTTTAAAAAATCCACGTTTGTGTCTCTGTTGGTCTTTGAAAATATTATTTAAAAAATCCACGTTTGTGCCTCTGTTGGTCTTTGAAAATATTATTTAAAAAATCCACGTTTGTGCCTCTGTTGGTCTTTGAAAATATTATTTAAAAAATCAACGTTTGTGCCTCTGTTGGTCTTTGAAAATATTATTTAAAAAATCGACTTTTGTGCCTCTGTTGGTCCTTGAAAAATATTCTTTAAAAAATACACGTTTGTGCCACTGTTGGTTCATGAAAAATATTCCTTAAAACATCCACGTTTATTGGTCTGTTGGTCCTTGAAAAATATTCTTTAAAAAATCCACGTTTGTGCCACTGTTGGTTCTTGAAAAATATTCCTTAAAAAATCCACGTTTATTGGTCTGTTGGTCCTTGAAAAATATTGTTTAAAAAATCCACGATTATTGTTCTGTTGGTCCTTCAAAAATATTCTTTAAAAAATCCACGATTATTGTTCTGTTGGTCCTTCAAAAATATTCTTTAAAAAAGCCACGTTTATTGGTCAGTTGGTTCTTGAACAATATTCTTTAAAAAATCCACGTTTATTGGTTTGTTGGTCCTTGAAAAATATTGTTTAAAAAATCCACGTTTATGGTTCTAAGGGTCCTTGAAAAATATTGTTTAAAAAATCCACGATTATTGTTCTGTTGGTCCTTCAAAAATATTCTTTAAAAAATCCACGATTATTGTTCTGTTGGTCCTTGAAAAATATTGTTTAAAAAATCCACGTTTATGGTTCTAAGGGTCCTTGAAATATATTCTTTAAAAAATCCACGTTTGTGCCTCTGTTGGTCTTTGAAAAATATTCTTTAAAATCCGCGTTTGTGCCTCAGTCGTCCCTTGAAAAATATTCTTTAAAAAATCCACGTTTGTGCCACTGTTGGTCCTTGAAAAATATTCTTTAAAAAATCCACGTTTGTGCCACTGTTGGTCCTTGAAAAATATTCTTTAAAAAATCCACGTTTGTGCCACTGTTGGTCCTTGAAAAATATTCTTTAAAAATCCACGTTTGTGCCACTGTTGGTCCTTGAAAAATATTCTTTAAAAAATCCACGTTTGTGCCACTGTTGGTCCTTGAAAAATATTCTTTAAAAAATCCACGTTTGTGCCACTGTTGGTCCTTGAAAAATATTCTTTAAAAAATCCACGTTTGTGCCACTGTTGGTCCTTGAAAAATATTCTTTAAAAAATCCACGTTTGTGCCACTGTTGGTCCTTGAAAAATATTCTTTAAAAAATCCACGTTTGTGCCACTGTTGGTCCTTGAAAAATATTCTTTAAAAAATCCACGTTTGTGCCACTGTTGGTCCTTGAAAAATATTCTTTAAAAAATCCACGTTTGTGCCACTGTTGGTCCTTGAAAAATATTCTTTAAAAAATCCACGTTTGTGCCACTGTTGGTCCTTGAAAAATATTCTTTAAAAAATCCACGTTTGTGCCACTGTTGGTCCTTGAAAAATATTCTTTAAAAAATCCACGTTTGTGCCACTGTTGGTCCTTGAAAAATATTCTTTAAAAAATCCACGTTTGTGCCACTGTTGGTCCTTGAAAAATATTCTTTAAAAAAATCCACGTTTGTGCCACTGTTGTCCTTGAAAAATATTCTTTAAAAAATCCACGTTTGTGCACTGTTGGTCCTTGAAAATATTCTTTAAAAACTCCACGTTTGTGCCACTGTTGGTCCTTGAAAAATATTCTTTAAAAAAATCCACGTTTGTGCCACTGTTGGTCCTTGAAAAATATTCTTTAAAAAATCCACGTTTGTGCCACTGTTGGTCCTTGAAAAATATTCTTTAAAAAATCCACGTTTGTACCACTGTTGGTCCTTGAAAAATATTTTTTAAAAAATCCACGTTTGTGCCTCTGTTAGTCCTTGAAAAATATTCTTTAAAAAATCCACGTTTGTGCCTTTGTTGGGCCTTGAAAAATATTCTTTACAAATCCACGTTTGTTCCTATGTTGGTCCTTGAAAAATATTCTTTAAAAAATCCACGTTTGTGTCTCTGTTAGTCCTTGAAAAATATTCTTTAAAAAATCCTCGTTTGTGCCTTTGTTGGACCTTGAAAAATATTCTTTAAAAAATCCACGTTTGTTGGTCTGTTGATCTTTGAAAAAATATTCTTTAAAAAATCCACGTTTGTTGGTCTGTTGATGTTTGAAAAAATATTCTTTAAAAAATCCACGTTTATGGATGTGTTGGTCCTTGAAAAATATTCTTTAAAATCCGCGTTTGTGCCTCAGTCGTCCCTTGAAAAATATTCTTTAAAAAATCCACGTTTGTGCCACTGTTGGTCCTTGAAAAATATTCTTTAAAAAATCCACGTTTGTGCCACTGTTGGTCCTTGAAAAATATTCTTTAAAAAATCCACGTTTGTGCCACTGTTGGTCCTTGAAAAATATTCTTTAAAAAATCCACGTTTGTGCCACTGTTGGTCCTTGAAAAATATTCTTTAAAATCCGCGTTTGTGCCTCAGTCGTCCCTTGAAAAATATTCTTTAAAAAATCCACGTTTGTGCCACTGTTGGTCCTTGAAAAATATTCTTTAAAAAATCCACGTTTGTGCCACTGTTGGTCCTTGAAAAATATTCTTTAAAAAATCCACGTTTGTGCCACTGTTGGTCCTTGAAAAATATTCTTTAAAAAATCCACGTTTGTGCCACTGTTGGTCCTTGAAAAATATTCTTTAAAAAATCCACGTTTGTGCCACTGTTGGTCCTTGAAAAATGTTCTTTAAAAAATCCACGTTTGTGCCACTGTTGGTCCTTGAAAAATATTCTTTAAAAAATCCACGTTTGTGCCACTGTTGGTCCTTGAAAAATATTCTTTAAAAAATCCACGTTTGTGCCACTGTTGGTCCTTGAAAAATATTCTTTAAAAAATCCACGTTTGTGCCACTGTTGGTCCTTGAAAAATATTCTTTAAAAAATCCACGTTTGTGCCACTGTTGGTCCTTGAAAAATATTCTTTAAAAAATCCACGTTTGTGCCACTGTTGGTCCTTGAAAAATATTCTTTAAAAAATCTACGTTTGTGCCACTGTTGGTCCTTGAAAAATATTCTTTAAAAAATCCACGTTTGTGCCACTGTTGGTCCTTGAAAAATATTCTTTAAAAAATCCTCGTTTGTGCCACTGTTGGTCCTTGAAAAATATTCTTTAACAAATCCACGTTTGTGCCACTGTTGGTCCTTGAAAAATATTCTTTAAAAAATCCACGTTTGTGCCTTTGTTGGGCCTTGAAAAATATTCTTTACAAATCCACGTTTGTTCCTATGTTGGTCCTTGAAAAATATTCTTTAAAAAATCCACGGTTGTGTCTCTGTTAGTCCTTGAAAAATATTCTTTAAAAAATCCACGTTTGTGCCTTTGTTGGGCCTTGAAAAATATTCTTTAAAAAATCCACATTTGTGCCTCTGTTGGTCCTTGAAAAATATTGTTTAAAAAACCCACGTATGGTATGGTTATGGTTCTAAGGGTCCTTGCAAAATATTCTTTAAAAAATCCAGACCTTGGACGTTGGTCCTCCAGAAATTTTCTTTAATTGGAAAATATTTGTTTAAAAATCCAGGCTATATTTTAAAATTAAAAAATTGTAATTTGTTTTAAAGTACATTATTGTATAATAAATACATGAATATTCAATAATATTGAATATTCAATATTATTCCTTTTTTCTTATCCATAGCCATAGCGAAGTGTTCGACACGTTCTGGAAAGTTTGGTTAATTTTTCTTTCAACTAAAACACCATTTACATGAAAACATTCCCCCACATCCAAAGGTTGTCCCCCAATCGACAACCTGTAGCATCACAAATAAAACGGCCAATAGCACCCCTCGTCCGGCAAAGATGAGAGATAATCAAATTTAGAAGACAAAAAGATTTTTCTCGACAAAAAAAAAATGAGAAACATAAATTGATATAAATCCCAGTTTGAATATTTGTTTTAGAAAGTGGATCAAAGACAGCATGATGGTGGACAAAGTGCCGAGGAGAATGTTAATGGAAAACCTTGCTCCAATATTGAAATGGCTACTGGAAAAAAATAAATCTGTTACAAAAGGACAATACAAAAATCCCTTAGGCATTTGAGTTTGACGACAGAAAGTTGTGACAAATGACAATTTGAATTAAAGGGAAAAGCTTTCTG